GTGGCCCGCGGCTGCGGCCTCGTCTCTGCAGCGGTGGCCCCGGCGCTGTCACCGGCCACGGACGGGCGGCGGGCACCCTGCCCACGTCGTTTAAATCGGGGAAGTAGGAGAATTATACCAGGTCGTTTCAATGAAACCTACGAACGCGACCTTTTTTCTCACCGTGTCTCGTTACCCGGGCCTGGGCTGGGGTTTCTAAGAGCTCGGCGGGGGTGCGTAATGTTTTTGTCAATTAAGATTAAATATACACACTTTACATGGGTTCGCATTCATGAGGCGACGTTTGGAATGCAAGTCGTTTCAATGTATCAACGCATATGCCTCTTGCTTTCCTAATGATGGGTCCCTCCTGCCCCAGGACCTCCTGGCACGTTGCCGGGAGAGTGAGGGCGAGAAAGACAAAAGGCGGGAGGGGGAGAAGGGTGGTCCTGCGATTTCCTTCATTTTTTTCCTCCTTCTTTTTGAAAACAGAAACACGTCGTTACGAATTGTACACAATTTAAGTCACAATGAAACGTGCGTGTCTTTCGAGCGTGGCTTCGCTCTCAGCCAGCACTCCATGACCGCCTCGGACAGGGGTTCCGATGCAGCGGCGTCTTAGGGTCTCAAACTCGCGGCTGGAAAACACGCGCAGGGGGGACCCCGCAGACGCCGAGGGATCCCCGCGGCTCCTGCACTGGAACCTTGAGCGGGTTTTCAAAGGGGCCAGAAGACCTGGGCCGCCACAGCAGCGCGGCGGGCCGTGCGGAGGGGCCCCGGGGGCTGGAGGGGTGGCTGGGGCGCCGGGTCCCCGGGTCCCTGGACGGCGCGCAGCTCCTTTACGCTCCAAGACTCGCGTCCTCACCTCACCGCTTCCCACTTCAGCGTCTGACTCCGTAACTCGGAATTACTGCGAGGTCCCTTCCTCGCGGACTTGTCGCTCTCGGGTTCCTCGAGTGGACAGCTCAGCTCCCATGCTCTCCACCGACGCCCCGCCTCCGACCGCCTCCCAAAGGTTCTGTCCCCGCAGCAGCCGGAGAGTCTCATCTCGCCTTGTCCCAGCATCTTGCAGACTCGGTCCCTGTCGTCTGCCCTTTCCCGCCTCCCGCCACAGCCCCCTCCACCGGTGGCCTACGTGGGCTGCCGCGCTGGCCCGAGCGCCCCGACCCCGTGCGCCCCTTCCACGGGTGCCTCGCCGGCGCCGGGGGCCGGGGCCTGGGGGAGGACACGCGCGAGGTCCCAGAGCGCCTGGAGACGGAGAAAGGGGGACGAGGAGGGACCTGGCCAGGCTCGAGTTCCTTTAAGGGAGTGGGTCCCAGGAGACGGGTTTCCAGAGCAGCGGAGACCGGAACGTCCGTTTTCCGTGGCGGTGGCTGGAGGGGACGCTGAAGCGCTCTCCGCGGGCTCCCCGTAGTCCGCGCCCTGGCGGGCCCGGCCCCCGCACCGAGCGACCCGGACCCCGGCGCGCACCTTACCGGAGGGCCCCGGGCGCCGCGGCAGCTGTCGGGGCGAGGCAAACAGACGGAGTTGTCAGTTGGGTTCCCCCCTTTTTTCAAGTGTTTCGGCAAAACAGCCTTTGGAAGAAGCCCGCCCGCCCCCGCCCCTCCGCCGCTGCTCTGTCGCTGCGCGTCGCCGTCGCCGGTTTAAACACCGAGCGCTCCTCCGCGGGGCGAGCGGCCCAGGAGGCCCCGGGGACCGCAGAGGCCGCGGGACCGCGGGACCAGGGAGGGCTCCTCGCTCGCGAGAAACACTGGAGCAGGGAAGTCTCCAGTTTCTCGACACTTTGGTCTCAGGAGCGAGGCGGTCCACAGCGCGGCTCTGGGGCGCGTTTCCCTCCGGGGCTAACACCGAATGCGGTTTGTGACGCCAAACAGCTGGCCCGGACCAGCACTTCTGCACAGGCTTCCCGAGCTCTCGGACACTCGGACACACCGGATCAGAGGTAGAGAAGGGAGGGTTTATGATTTATTTTTTCCTTGTCAAAAACTGGAGGAAAGGCAGAAAAAATTTCTTGACAAATGTAATCGTATTAAAAGTAACTTCAGTTGAACAGAAGCGGAAAATGGGCCAGGGGCAGGCGCAGACCCTCTGCACAGCGGGACGGAAAAGCCATGGGCAAAGATGCCCCGATTTACTAGTGATGGGGAAGCCTGCAGACAGCGTCCAAAATGCCACTTTACACCCACTGGATGACACCCACTGATGACACCCGCCAGGCCCAGGACGCAAAGAGCCGGGCCGCCGGGCGCGTTTAAATCACTGTGAAAAAGTTAGAGAGACACGTGGCAACATCTGAAAGCCGCAGATGCCCACACCCTGTCCCCCTGCGACGCCTGGGCTCATCGTCCACGGCCAGGAAATGCCAGGCACGGCACGTGCATTGCTTGCGAAGTGCAGGGCTGGACACTTGAATGGCAGCCGGCAGAGGCCTGGGTAAGAAGTCCGACATATTTCACAGAACAGAACGCTCCCCGGGGCCGCGAGCGAGGCCAGCGGCTCCACTGTATCAACGTGAATACGTCCTCGGAGTGTAAAGTTGGGTGAGAAAAATAGTAATTATGAAAGAAGGCTGGAGGCAGGATGGTGCCGAGGGCGAAGGTCTGCGAACAGCCATGTGTGTGCTCTTCACAGGCACGATGACGGGGACGGCGATGACACGTGGGACAGTCTCTCCTGCAGGGGACTCGAGGGCCCCTGGAGCAGGGGCTGGGAAGAGGTAGTCAGCCCTGTTAGTAATACTTTATTTCTGAGAAATACATCTGAAATCAATGCCAAAATGTTAATGATCAGTAACTTTGAATGGTGGTTACCTACGGTTAGATTATGCTGCATACTTTTCTTGTGTAAATATTTTGTTTTGAAAATTTAAATTAAACAGTAAGTATTGGCATTTTTAAAAAGTGTCATGGGACAGATGTGTAATGGAATAATTTAGCGGTTCTTTCTTTTCAAATAAATTCTTAAGAATTTACATTCTTCATCTCTTCCTTCCTCTCTCCATTCCCTAAGCTGTCGAAAAAACAAATAAACAATATTCTGCATCTGCAGTTGAGACCTTTAAACTGTCCCTTGTGTGTATGTCTTCGTGCCATTATCCAAAGCGTGGCAGGGAGGGACAAGCTTCCTGGGCAGGGTGCGGAGGTCTGGCCACTCTCTCAGGTCACGTCCGGGGACAGCCAGGCCTCTCTGGCAGGGCAAGGCCGCGCTGGGTGCAGCATGGAGGCCTGGCCACCCGCGTGCCTCTGCGGGACCATGGGCCTTTCCCCGTGTGAATCATGGGTTAGAAACTCGAGTTGTGGCAGACAGAGAGTTAGGCCCCAGGCCGAGGGGAGGGGCAGAGGGCCCTCGGGAAAGGAAGAGGGGGTGAGAGGGAAGGGGTTCAGCTCCCAGCACCCCCCACTCCACTCTCTGAGCAGCAGGCCTTGCTTTTCTGGGCCTTAGCTCTTTCTAGAAACAGTTTACGCTCCGCTCTGCTCCCATCGTGTCTGCTGCAGCTTGAGCAATCGGCTGCTCACGTCCAAACCTGCCCAGAGGCCTCGCAGAGTCCATCCTGCAGCCCGGGCCCCTTGGCAGTGACGTGGCCTCCCTGTGTCATTCTGTTCCTCGACCCGTTCAGAGCCAGGCCGAAAGGAGGGCCCTATTTCTTGGGGTCCCCCGAGCTGCCAGAGGCTTCCCTGTGCCTCCTGGCCCGAAGCTCCTGGGGCCGGCTGCTGCCACCTGCCTGCTCCTCACCAGGCCCATGGCCTCCCACGTTGCACCCCTGCAGGCTGCTTCCGGCCAGGAACCCCTTCCCCGGGGTTCTCGCTGCCCCCTCCCGCTTGGAGCTGCTGCGTCAGCCTGTGACGTTCTCTGACCTCAGTCCCACACCGGGCTGCAAGCCTAGGCACCGGACAAGTATTGATTAAGTGAACGGCTCGCTCTTAGTTATTCGCCTTTACTTGTAAAGGACGCAGCAGGGTGTTGAGGGAGAGAAACAGAAAAATAACGGGGACACTTGCTTACAACTCGGCCCTACTTCCCCTTGGAGACCCCTCGGTAAGCGGGCAGGGCAGGTGGCATGGGTCCAGGCCGGCCAGCCCCGGCCCTCCTCCTCAGGGAGACAGCTCTCCACATGAAGCGCCACCCATTCTGGTCGTTAAATTTTAAGACCTGATAGATGTGCATATTTAAAATAACATTTAGTTTTTAAAATAAACTTCTGAGTTAGCAATCAGCGCAAAGCCTCCCAGGTTCCTTGTGGAAAGTGGACAGGCGCTTCCTCTGGCAGGTGCTCGGTACAGCCTGTCGGGGAGAATGGTCCCATGT